TTGAATATTATAGGTGTGTAAACTCAGCAAAATATTCTAAAAGAGTCCACTAGCCCATAGTAGCATTGGGTCTTCTGTTTAACTGGCAATGTCAGAAATTATTGACCTGAGTCTAAATTAGAACAAGCTGGCACAAGTTCCGAATGAAAACTCCCCAAACCCAGCCGTCTGGTACCCGAGTGACGTCAGTAGGCATATTTGTGGCTGGCACTCAGACTGGCCCTGTCTGAGGGAACGGACTAAACTGATGGCACTGTTTCGTGGTACTGGCTACAGTGGCAGCCGCACGTGGCTATTCAGCCTTAGAGATACAGCTAGCACAACCAGAATTAAATTTTATATTTTCAACCTAATGAGGTTAAAATGAAATTGAATAGCCACCCATGGCTGATGCCTTTGTTCTAGGCAGCCGTAGGAGGCTCGGAGCAGAGTCCCAGGGATGGGATTCTCAGGCTCAGCCGCCCAAACAGAATCGGGGGACCACTGGATCACAGGCAGCACATCGGACACCGTGGCTGCACAGGAGGGCCACTGGGAGCGAGAACACGGCAGAGGCAGGGCCCCAGACTCACATGAGGAGGCCACCATGCTCACGACAATGGACGAGGAGGTGCTAGAGCTCTGTACCATGACGGTCACCAGCACGCCGATCACCAGCCCCGCCACGGGGTTGGACATGATGGAGTTGTTGCTGAAAAACTGCCCGGCCATCTTTCCTGAAAGAAAGGACAGCATCCACGTGATGGGGCAGCTCAGTGCCACTGAGCATGGTGTCACCAGCTGGCCAAGACCAGGTGCCTACCCTCCAGCTCAGCAGGGGCCTCAGGAAGCAGCCTCTTCCTGCACTTTCCAGAGGGGCAGGGGCCCTGGTGGCTGCCCCCTGCTGCTGAGTGCCCTGACCTGGCTTCCACACCTGGCAGCAGCCCTGCGATCCTCTCATCCCTTCCCCCACAGCCGCCTCCTCACCTCTCCCTTCACAAGCAAGCGCTGCGCTGGCCTTCCCCAGTGAGGAGCATGACCTCTGCTCCACCCAGGGCCTGGCGGGCCTCCTGATGCCCTCACCCTCACCTCGGAGATGTGCCTCAATGCAGTCTCCTCTAGCAGTGACCTGCTCACTCTCCACCCAGCCCTAGCTGTCGGCAGTGGGTGCGACTTGGCCAGAATAATCAGCTAGCAAGCAAGGAGCAGGAAAGCAGCAGTGGCGGCAGAGTCATGCACCCCCGAAGGGCCCTCTGCACTCTGCAGAGTCCCCCAGATCACAGGGTAGATCCAGGGCTGAATCTGCCTGCTCATTCCAGGCGGACCATTTAGGTTGTGCAGGCCCTGAGCCTCCCTCCTTGCTCTTTTCTCCAGGTGGGAGGGGGGGGGTTTGACTCAGGATCCCTAAAGGCAGGCAGGGTGCACCTGTCACTGCTGTCACCCATCCAGCCTATTTGGTGGCCTCACTCCTGGGCCCTGCCACATTTGTTCACCACAATCAAGCCTTGGCAGGTGTATCCTGAGATTTGGGGTGCAGATACCCCAACATGGACCCCAGCCATCCCCAGAGGCTGGGCTTTGCACTTTCCCACTTGCTTTGGCTTAAGAGGACATTCTCAATCTATAGTCTTGGGAACAGAGAGGTAAAGGAACAAGAAGCCCTCAGATAAGACTGGAGGTTGGATAGCTTCCTGCCTGGGGTGTCTGAACAAAGGCCGAAGCCCTAACTGGGAACTGCTCCAGCCCGCCAAGCCAGCTCCCAGCATAAGCCAGCCAGCCAAGTCATCTTGGCCACTTTAGACCTCAGTTTTCTACTCTGTACAATGAGAGTGTGGGCAGTACAAGGTGATGGGAGACTTTAGTCCTGGGTCACTGAGGGGTGCTGCCCCAGAGAGTTGTGAGTTGCTGCTACTGTCCAAACCCAATCTGACCATGACTCTTGTGTGCTGGCCCCAGAGTCTATCTGTCCCCTTACCTCCAACCAGCTGGAAGGCACTGCTGAGGATATCCAGGGAGCACACGAACAAGTAGAGGAATCCCAAGAGCAAGACAAACTTCCCAATTCCTTGCAAGATACACAGAATCTTCCCTTTGGCATCTCTCTCTGTGGGGAGGTGGGGAAAGACATGGAGTTGTTAATGTCTACAACTGACATTTTTAAGCATTTCCACAGCGGGCCACAGGACTCCCCACCTCCCTTCCGGGCCAGGCTTTAATGGGCTCTTAGGTCCCGCAAGCCCAGAGATGGAAAGCGTCCATCTCTGCCATTTCCCAAGGAGCTGCCTCTGTGGGCTGTTCCCTGGAACCCATGCAAGAGATGTACATGTGGGAGGCAGGATTCAATATATTCTGGGGTGCTGGCCAAGCTCAGCTGAACCTCAGTGCAGCCTGCTAAGTGCAGAGCGCCCCCAGGACAGCATAAGTATTTCCTAGAAGGGCTGCTTGGTAGCAACCACAGCCTTGATTTGCAGGGCTTGGGCCCTACATCCAGCAATGCTGTGGCCTTCACTGAACTTTTTTTCCACTCAATTTTAAAGCATTCCTCACCTCCTCCCAGCTCCCTTCTCCTCCTCCTCCCTGCATCTACCCACTTCATCCACTAACTGACCTTGCACCCCACCGTTTGGAAGGCAATGTAGCTAACACCTGCTACACCCCAGCTGTTACAGCTGTGTGTCCTGTCTTCTGGAGCCCAGATCTCATGTGCCCATGGTCTCATCCACAACACCCACAATGACACTCAGAGCCCACAGCAGGCAGTGAATTACAAGGACCAAGACAGTGGTGATCACACCCAGCACCCCACACAGATGAATGTAAGATCCTACAATCTCCAAGATGCTGACACTAACCCTCCTAATGAGGTGGCCTCCCTAGCCAGGGGGCTTAAGTGTGCAATGAAAGGGGAGAGTAACCCAAAGAAGGTGACAGTGAACACCAAGCAGGTCCCCTGCTGAGGCCAGGTGACGTGGCATTTTTACCTGACCACTTGATGCCAGTGTCCTGGAGCTCCGGCAGATTCCAGGGGTCTTCCACCTGGGTGGGCTCTTCTAATAGTTCCACGGTGGAGTAGGAGGGCAGTAGCTCAATCTTGGCCACTGGAGTCCCGCTGGCATCTGCTCAAAGAAGCAGCAAAGGCCATAAGAGTCTGGCCAAGTCTCCTCGCAGGCTTGCAAGGCCCACAACCCACGAGTAGCACTTACTTTGGTCCACATCCTTGCCCTTGGCATCTGCGCCAGGCTGCTGCCCCGCGCCCTCTTTGATGTATTTCTCAGGGTCAGGTTGGGCATTTTCCACCTCAGGCCAAGGGGCCATGGTCTGTGGGAGGGAAGACAGATTAGAGAGATAGCCACCAGGAGGTGCTGCTAGTTGTCACCCAAGAGGAGCCTCCCTCAGGAGGTCAGAAGGGAGGGGAGGAGAGGGGAAGGAAGGATGTCATGCTCAGACCTTCGAGTGGAGGCTGGAGGGCCCTGTCCCTGCCCTCATCCAACAACCCCACCCAGGCTGCCCCAGAAGTCACACCAAAGTCTTGCTTCTTGCACTGGTCAGAAGTGGGATGCACATACTTCCTATGCATTGCGGTGTAGTATATAGGGTGCTCACGACCCCCAGTAGGATCTACACACAGCTGTGACAGGGACTCACATGTGACCTAAGGGATGGATGTCTGGCACACTCTGATGTGCTTACTCTCGTTCGTTCTCTCTCTCTCTCTCTCTCTCTCTCTCTCTCTCTCTCTCTCTCTCTCTCTCTCTCTCTCTCTCTCTCTCTCTCTCTCATCCACCACTTGGATCTTCTGAGAAAGCGGCGCCTCAGACCTGGCCTCAGGCCCTGCCACGCCACTCATTAGCAGAGCCTCTAGGCAGAAAGCATGAGTTTCCCATCTACGAAATGAGATAATTCTTCACAGTAATGACAGATTAATGTGCAGCTAAAGGTCTACAAAGTGCCTGGCGTGGAGCAGGCTTCTGATGGGCAGTGGTTATCACCACTTATCAGAACTGTGCTGTGTTTAGCCTTTGCCCAGGGTGGCCCAGAGCTCGCTTTGACCATCCACAGTGGTCCTCGGGGACATGGCTCTTGACACAACTGGCTGTCCACCCCTTGCATACCTGGCCTGCTCTGACACACATCAGATAGCACAATCCACAAAACAGAATTCACAGAGCAGTACAAACACCTACCTGAAAGTCTTACCAAAAACTGAGAGTTCAAACTTGCTACAGAAATATGCAGTAATAAGCAACAATGATCAAGGTGGCAAAACCCTTAAGGTTTTAAGGGGCTGCTCTGGAGACGGCCTTGTAAGAAGAGCACTCACTGGCTGCTCAGGTGAAAGCTCTGGGGAACAGTGAGTTTCGGGCCCAGTAACTTCACTTGTAGGAATGAGGAACCTAGGAATATTTGCTCTCAGAAAATGTCCACCTTGTTCTGATCACTTCCTCCAAGAGTTCCCCAGAAACTGGGTTGGTCTGATGCTTTTCCTTTTTCTGCAATCAATCAATTCCCCTTCCTACCAGAATGCAGGCACTAACAAAGCCACTGCATCTCAGGACCCAAAGTTCTGCCTGGCAAACTGATGGTGCCAATAAACAGTACTGAAGAACGTAGTGGAGACCAAAGAGGACATATGCTGCTCTGCCACGCGCATGTGCAGATCACATGCATGAGAAAACCAGACTCAGAGGGGTGAAGCACTCAGTCCATGGGCCCAGCCGGGGTGTGATTTTTCTCACTCAGTCTCTGCTCACCTCTCCACAACTCAAAGAGCTGCCAGGCGCCCTGCTGGGGTCACAATCCCACCATTCTGGGGGGCTTGCAAGAGCAACCCCTCTGCAAAGCTAACAGGCAGTACTGAGAGAAGAGTGGGAAGGAGGGGTGGGGGCAGAGCCAGAGGCAGCTCTTCCTGTCAGGAAGACAGCATCCTTAGTGTCACATCAGCGTGGCTCTCCCTCCTCCGACGCAGATTTTACTCATAGGATTAGGGAAAGGAAATGTTAACTTGACAGGTAGATAGATGAGGTGATATTGACATCGAGAAGCTTATTTCCAACCTTGATAACACTGAGATTCTGGGGTCCCCTTCCCTCTACTTCAGGTTGACAACCAAAGAGCGTATGATCCCTCCCAAACCCTGCCAACAGGGCCAAGCACAGCTGTTCCAGAGCTTCAGGACCTGGACTTCTATCCAGATCCCAGGTCTTTGGTTCCAATCCCAGCTTTGCCTCGGGCTTAAGGATAGTAGGGCACAGCCGTTCATGCTGCAGCCCCATTGCGTGGGAGCCTGACACAGGGGAGTCCAGAGCTTGAGGCCATCCTGGGTGGCAGAGACCCTGTCTCACCCCTGTTAGAAGTCTAGAAAGCAGGGCTCAGACACACAAAGCTAACACTTACATTTAGGCTATCCACACACCTGCAAGGGTCTCTCTGTTCTTGGAGGCAGTTTGATGGAAAGTTTAAGTTATTAGGACTGCCTACCATTTTTTCCTCTTAGAAGCTTAAGCTCTAGGGCCACCTATCTCTTAGGCATGTCCACTGCCTTCTAACTTTCAAGGGCAGAAACTATCTTCTATACTTTCTTTCCATGCCATGTAGCAGGTATTTTATATTTTTAATGGGGTTAATAGACAGGGTTCCCAGAAGGAGTCCACTTGGCCCATGGTGATCAGAGCCAAAAATCCAGCCATGTCTTCTCAGTAGGCTGGTAGTCCCTACTCACTCACACGGAGCATGCTGGATGAATTGAGTGGGAACCCCCACCAATAGTAAAGTCGAAGCAGCCTGTTCTTTAAGTGACGTTCTGTGAATGCTTAGTCTAACAACTGAGCAGAAATGGCCACGAACACAGAAGCAGGTACACCTGGGGTCCAATAGTATCACAAGCCACAGGCACCCAGGAAAGACCAGAAAGCACTGGCTTGGAATGTGACCTGCTGGCACCTCAGCACTTGTATGCTGCCTGTGCTGGCTTCTATCAGCTCCTGGACCCCAGACCCCTTCACCCCCTTTACTCCTTCACCCTGAAGTCTCTGCCACTGAAAAGCCAACGCACATTTCTATTGAATGTCCTGTCCTGACTTCTCAGAAGTTTTTCTTTTCCCTGTTCTGAATCCAAGTATTCATTATGAAACACTTCCTGGATGAAGTAAGGATTTCCCACACCGGGTGTTTTGGGTTCAGGTACCTTCCTCTCCCTCACGGCCAAAGTGCCAGACCCAGACAGATTAGCAGGGAAGCCCTAGGCCACCCCCCAAGCTCGCTGCTGCCCTCCTGAGCAGACATCCAGCACCTCTGCCCCTTGACCCTGTCCACCCCCATAGCACCAGGTGCACCTAGATAGTGGGTGGTGTAGGGCACCTGGCAGCCACCTGGCTACTCTGCTCCTGAGCTTGGGCATATGTGTCCTACTCACCAGCCCTTCTCCAGACACTAGCAAAAAATACACCCAGAAATCTTCAGGTCCCTGGAGCTGCCACTTCCAGAGACAGTGGTGTGTGGCATGCAGTGAGAAGACAGAACCCCCGCGTGGACAGGGCTGACTCTGCAGAGACCAGCCTCTGAGTCTCAGTTTCATCATCTCAAAAAATGCGACCCTGCCATCTCCCAGGAATTGTAATCATGCAGGGCTTGGGAAACGCATTGCACTGGGAACATGAAAGAGTCGGAGCCCTTCCAGTACAGCCTTGCCCTACCCTGGACTCATCCTCCCCAGCACTCAGAGCAGTGCGGACCCTTGGTAAATATTTGTTCCTTAAAAAGAACCCAAAGCATGTGAAAGGTGCTAACATTTGTCTTGTGATAAAGGAGTGTCCTGACTGGTTTAAATCTTCCGGCTGGTCCCCGAGTCAGAGTTTTCTCACAGAAATGACCACAAGGGTGGAGGTGAGAGGAGATAGAACTCTCTGCCCCCACCTCCATGAAGCACAGGACACAAGGAGTCTGGGCTGGGCTCTTTTGGGAAAGCTGGGAGGGCAGAGCCACAGGGATGACCCTACCCTGATAACCAGGAACGCTAGCCATGTACAGTAGTGACAGGCTATGGTTCTGCCAAGGCCTGCACTCAGCAGGTGCCGGCTTTGGAGGCACCTGCATGAGCCCAGGAAGTGGGAAGGATGCACCCCAAATCCGAGGTCACTTCCCTGGCACAGCAGACTCTGCTCCCTGACAGCGGGCCTGGGGGACCCCTGGAGCCCTGAGTCCCAGCCCAGCCTAGGCTCAGCTGTGCCCTCCCTCACTTCCCCCACTACCCCCACACACTAGCGCCTTGTTCCCTGCCAGCAGCACAGCAGGAAGCTGACACCCTCTGGAGAAGGCTGGGGACTCAAATGGGCCCCCAGGTGGGACTCACCTATCTGCCCCACCCAGGCCCCACCAGTCTCTGCAGCTGAGCTGGCTGTGACTCTTGGCTCCACTTCCTGCAGCCACTCAGGGCCCCAGTAAGGAGCCTCATTGTCCAACCTCTGAGCTTCACATTGTTCAGGCTTCTCCAACTGGGACCTGTGCTGCGCCTCCTCTGAGCTCAGAGCAGAAGCGCCCCCAGGGCTCCCTGAGGGGAAGGCAGGGCATTGAGCCTGCAAGGAATGGGTCAGACTTTTGTTCTCTGGCCTAAGGCCCAGGCAGGAAAGCCTTGGGGTATCCCCAGCTGGTGGGACAGTGTCTGCCCCTTGGTCAATCAGTATGGACAGAGCACTCTAAGTCCTGTGCACAAACCAACAGGCATTGTCAGTATTGATATCTCACTACTAACCTGGTCACCAATGCCAAGAGAGGAAACTGAGGCACAGACATTAACAACCTAAAACCACACATTTACTACAATTTCAAAGATGATTCATAGTCATGCAGCCCAGTGCTCTCAGTACACCTAAGAAATTCTTTGTACTATGCAAGAATGACCCTGAAGATGGGAGGGCAAAAATTCCCAGCACATGGGTACTTTTCAGCTTCTTTTAGCCATCATGAGGAAAAATGACCCCTCCAAGGACATGGTGGTAAGATGGGGAGATCGAGACAGAGGCAGGGAGCAGGTGACCAGCTTTTGGTTTACATGGGCCCAATTGGAACAGGACCCCTGTCCTGTCACTTTGAGCTGGAGTCCCATCATTCCACCATGAATTCATCCTGCACCTTCAGCTTGTGTTCATATTGAAAAATAAACCATGTATGTGACTGACCTGGAAGGCTCTTGCATTGTATCAGGGGAGGTGAAAGGGGGCACATTTGTAAATGTAGGACACACAGCTTTGCAATCTTTTCTGCATTAAATTCACTGGAACTTTCTTGGAACAGCTGCCTGCTCCTTGCTGCTACTGGGTCCGGTCTAGGGGAATCCAGGTCCTGGGGATCATGTCCCCTCATAGTGGAGAGAGGAATGGGGGCGGTGCAGACCATGGGGGGACAATGGCTGCAGTGCACTGAGATCCAATTTACTCCAAATCTGTCCATCTCTCCCATGTCATAGCAATAACCCAGACATCTATCCTCCCAGCACTGGGGGCCTGGGCTTGCTTCAGGAGGGTGGCTGCTCGATTTGGGGAGGTATGAGAGAAGAATTTGTTCAGCGCTTCTCCAAAGCATGTCCAGCTTGCCACCCATTTACAAGATCACAGAAACTAGAGAAAAGATCTTTATCTGCTGACACAGACAAAGGATTCAGTCAGTCTTTAACAACTCGAAACAATAGCCACTGTGGAGGAACACTTTTCTACGAATTCCCAACACAGAACAAGTTAAAAAAAAAAAAAAAAGGCAGAACAGGAGCAAAAGACAAGAAAATACAGGAGGAGACTGACAAACAAGGCCCTGCAGTCAGAGCAGGGCACAAAAACCTCCTCATGAACCTGGTCAGAGAGAAGGGCAACTCACAAGCTGCCTCCCAGAAACCAGCAGGCTTGGGAAAGCACCCAGCTCACCAAGGAAAAGGGAGAAACATCTGACTCCTCCCGCCAGGGCAGCTCCCTGTGGCCACTGGGAGCTAAATTCACTGTCTGAACATCCCCCTTTCTGGCCTACATGTTCTTAGCTCCCCACCCAACCATCCTACTTGAATTTCAAAGCCTCCTCGCCTGGTACCTTCTGCCTGTAATAGACAGCCGAGGGCTCTGTCCGACCAGAGACCGCTTAAAGACAGGTCTTCAGCTGAGGGCCACCTGAGCTGAGGGGAAGAGTGAGCTCGCCTGGCGTTGGTCTTGGTCGCCTTAGATAAGTAACTGCAAACAAGCCTGGTAGCACGTGGGAGTCACGCCGCCAGCCACTGCGCACGCACCATCAGTCCCCCAGAGCACCAGGAGCCTGGGGCTGTCTGGGCGACAAGTGACAGACATGGTCCTGTCACACAGCCCTTCAGGGACCCGGCCAAAAAGCAGGGCTGGCCAATTCCTAGGTGTTCGAGTCCTATCGCCTGTCCTTCCTCCCCAAAACCACAGTTCTTGAATGCATCTTTTTTTGAGTCCCCAGGTCTGGCCAATTAATCGCACATCAGGATTAAAAGTGTAGCAAGACTTGTCCCAAAAACAGCCGGGACATAAAGGAAAAAAATCTGAAACTGTCAGGAAGGTTTATTATTATTTTCTTTTCTGCAACCCGAGGCCAGCCAAATTCCTTCGGGTCAGCCCCGAGGGGGATGGAAAAGAATTCTTGAAAAGTAAGTCGGGGTGCTTGGAAGAGTGAGCCGGAGGCCGGCGGCATACTCACCTTCTCAGGGAAGGGACACCAGGCGGCACCAGGTAGCGAGGCTGCTGCCTGGCTATATATAGTGAAGGTGTTGCGCAAAGCGGCCGCCGGCTGTCGCCGTCTTCACGCCCCTCGCACATTCCGGGCCCGCCCGCCCCCGCCAGGGCACTGCCCACCTGCGGGCGTGGGGCGCGCATGCTGACCCGGCCCGCCCGCTGCCCCGGGAGGCGGCGGCCTGCGCACAGACCTCAGACGGCGGCCGGCGGCAGCGCAGACGATGGGCACAGCGCAGCGCCTCGCGATCCGGGCGCCGGCCGCAGCTCCAGGTCCCCGCGAGCCAGAGAGCCAGACGCGGGCGAGTGAGCGGCAGGCAGGGACGCGTTCAGCTCCTGTCCCCACCTCAGAGGCTGGAGAGGGCAGTGACGCCGCCGCCGAGACAGATAAAAGGCAACTGGAAATTCAGGGACAGACTGACAACAAAGCCCGGATTGTTGGATTGTGTCTAGTCTAGGTCTGCGCTCTGGAAGGGCCTGAGGTACTCCTGGCAGCCAGGCCTGGCTCTTTCCCAGCCTCTCTTGCCCTGTGTCTCTCTCCATCCTTCTCCTTTGAGGCTCTGATGAGGCGACCTGACCTCCCTGGACACCGTGCTGGTGCTTGGACCAACTGCTGCCAGTGAGAAGCCGTGAGCTGCTGAAGAGACAGACTGTCCCTAGCCCTCCCTGGGGAAACCTCTCCCTGGTCTACAAGCCCTCTGCCTCATCCTGGTCTTATTCTGAAAACCAGGCCCTTACCCCTGCCTTGCTGTCTTGATTTTATAGCGAGGCACAGCGTTAAGGCTTAGCCAGTGTGCTAGCTCCCTGCTGCTGGTAACTAATAGTAAGATCCCTCATTGGAAAATGACCCTTTCATTTCAAAACCAACAGGTCTCAGGAGCCCAGAATGCTGGCTGTTAAGCTCAGAGACTTGGGGCCAGACTGACTGACTTCAAAGCTGTGAGTCAGTGAGCAACTTGCACCTTTCCAATAAGTGACTTCTAAAGCAGAATCTGCCTGCCCATGACAAGAAACGCGCCCACATGGAATGAGAAGGTGGCTGTCTCTCTGTCAAAGTGGCAGTCAAAAAGCTGGGTAGGTTGGTGGCAATGTAACTTCAGCACTCGGGAGGTTGAGGCAGGAGGATGGCCGAATGTTTGAGCCCAGCTTGGCCTCCAT